CGGTAATGAATTCCACAGGCTCACCACTCTTTGGGTGAAGAAATGTCTCCTCATCTCCGTCCTAAATGGTCTACCCCAAATCCACATATTGTGACCCCTGGTTCTGGACACACCCACCATTGGGAACATCCTCCCTGCATCTCCCGTGTCCAGTCCTGTTAGAATTTTATAAGAATCCATGAGATCCCCCCTCATTGGTCTAAACTCCAGCAAAAACAATCCTAAAATCTAAAATCTTACCAACAACCGAGGTCCATTCATTTCCTCTGCCATTTCTTTGTTCCCCCTTACTCCTTCTCCAGCCTAATTTTCCAGAGGTCCAATGTCCACTCTTGCCTCTCTCTTACCTTCTTTTTATCTAAAAAAAACTCTTAGAACTGTACAGCACAGGAATGGGCCCTTCGGCCCACAATGTTGTGCCGAACATGGCGCCCAATTTAAACTAATCCCTTCTGCCTGCCCTTGGTCCATATCCCTGCATTCCTTGCATATTCGTGCGCGTATCTAAAAGTCCCTTAAATGTCCCTCTCCCATCTGCCTCCACCATCACTGGCAGTGTGTTCCACTCTCTGTGTAAAAATCGTGCCCCTCACATCTCCTGTGAACTTCCCCCCCTCTCACCTTAAATGCATGTATTAGACATTTCAACCCCATCTATGCATCTCATAATTTTATATACTTCTATCAAGTCTCCGCTCAGCCTCCGCTGCTCCAGAGAAAACAACCCGAGTTTTTCTAGCCTCTCCTTATAGCTCCTACCCTCTAATCCAGGCAGCATCCTGGTAAACCTCTTCTGCACCTTCTCCAAAGCCTCCACATCCTTCCTGTAAGGTGGCGAACAGAATTGAACACAATACTCGCTAAGTGCAGCCTAACCAAAGTCTTTTCAAGCAGCAACATGATATCCTGACTCTTGTACTCAATTCCCTGACCAATAAAGACAAGCATGCCATACGCCTTCTTTACCACCCTATCTACTTGCGTGGCCACTTTCAGGTAGCTGCGGACTTGAACCCCAAAATCCCTCTGTACATCAGTGCTGTTCAGGGTCCTGATATTAACTGTTTACTTTCCCTTAACATCTGATCCCCCAAAGTGCAGCACCTCACACTTACCCCCATCTGCCATTTCGCCACACATATCTGCAACTGATCTATATCCCTCTGTATCCTTTGACAAACTTCTGCACTATCCACAACTCGTCTGATCTTTGTATCGTTTGCAAACTTACTAACTCACCAATCTACATTTTCATCCACCTCATTTATGTATATCACAAACAGCAGTGGTCCCAGTACGAATCCCTGTAGAACACCACTAGTCAATGGATCTTCAGCCTGAGAAACACCCTCCTCCCACCTCAAGCTGCACCTCCATCTCCTACCGACTAACCTCATCCCGCCCCCTTGACCTGTCCGTCCTCCCTGGACTGACCTATCCCCTTCCTAACTCCCCACCTACACTCACCTTTACTGGCCCCATCCCCGCCTCTTCGACCTGATGGTTTCCTCTCCACCTATCCTCTCCTCTATCCATCTTCTATCCGCCTCCCACTCTCTCCCTATTTATTTCAGAACCCCCTTCCCCTCCCCCTTTTCTGATGAAGGGTCTAGGCCCGAAACGTCAGCCTCTCTGCTCCTATGATGCTGCTTGGCCTGCTGCGTTCATCCAGCCCTGCACCTTGTTGTCTCGGATTCTCCAGCATCTGCAGTTCCTACTATCTCCCACCAACACCCTGTGTCTTCTACGGTCAAGCCAATTCTGAATCCATGTGGCCATGCATTTTAATTTTCTGGATGAGCCTACGATGAGGGACCTCGTCGAAAGCCTGACTAAAATCCATGCAGACAACATCAACAGCTCCACCCCTCATTGATCACCTTTGCCCCCTCGTCAAAAAATTCAATCAAGTTAGTTAGACATGACCTGCCGCTCACAAAGCCACGCTGACTGTCCCTCATTGGGCCATGCTCTTGCAAATGCGTGTAAATCCCATCCTTGAGAATTCTCTCTAATCGCTTCCCAACCACTGATGAGAGATTCACTGGTCAATACGTTCCTGGATTATCCCCATTTCCCTTCTTGAACAGAAAAACAACAATCCTCTGAGACCTCTCCATTGGCTAGCGAGGATAAAGAGATCTTGCAATCTACTTTTACATTACTAGCTAGCTTACCCTCATATTTCATATTCTCCCGTCTTATTGCTTTTTTTTTTAAGCTTGTCCTCTGCTGGTTTTTGAAGGTTTCTCAATCCTCTGGCCTTCCACAAATCTTCACCACGTTATATGCCTTATCTTTTGCTCCTGAAGTGGTTGTGTTGTAGGCTGACAGTAGACCCTCAGTTCCATTGCAATCCACCTGGTAGAACACGGTCCAGTTTTTCAGATTCACAAGTTTGTCAGACATGCCGGTATTTGGAAACTCTATCAAGTTACTAGGAATGTCTACTGAGAACAGAATTTTAGCAGCGAGACATGTAGCTTTCATTCCTGAATCTAGAGGCTGCAAACAGAATTCTAAGTCCAGAAAGGATTGCTAGACAATACGTATTCCCGCCACCCCATCCCCAGTCTTTTCAAAACCAGGTTTTCCCAGTAATTAAGGCAATAAACCCATATTTTATCTCCTTAAAAGCTTTGCTCGGCTGTTTTCTCCAAAGTTATTTGACGTTCCTGCAAGCGGTAGTTGACTTACAGCACACATTATCGTTAACTTCACTTCCCGGTGAAACCCTGTTTAACCCAGAAAATGTCCAAACCACGCTATACTTAGCAATTTTTCCACACAGTCCTTGAATATTCTGTCCAGATCCCCAATGGTTTACATCTCTCACTTCCAAAACTCCTCGCACAAAAACATCCAAAAAGGTTTAAAACAACATTCCCATTTTTGTTTCAAATTCATCTGAGTATCAATATAAAGATTTTTTTTAAAAAAGAGCTGCATTAATTGCTATAAACTTATTAAGTTGGGATAACTTCCTATTGCTGCTCTGAGCCTGTTAAACCCGAGAGGCGCTGATGATTGAAGACCACGTGAAAGGAGGATGGGGGAGAACAGTCACATGGTGGTGGGTGATGTCTCGCAAGCGAGTTTAGGAACACAACTTATCCCCACTGGATAGTCAACATCCATTGAAGAAAGCGGGAGGGAGGTTGGGGTTAGAGGAAGCAGTTGTGCACAGCATTGAATGGAGCAAAGCACAGGCCAGACCCAACCTGTGGACAGTGGATCTGGGAGATATGATGTGTGCCTGTAGAGAGACACACAGACTTCTGGGTGGTACATGGGGGCTCTGACCTGAACTCATCATTAGGTGGTGACTGGGGTTAGGAACACAACAGTGGGAGTCGGCCATTCAGCGCCTCGAACCTGCTCCATCATTCAGCATGATTGATTTTCTACCTTGGTGCCATTTTCCCACACCGTTCCTTGATAACTTTATCTGGAAACCTTTATCTTGAACAAGCTCAAAGACAGAGCCTCTGCTGCCCTCTGAGACAGAGAATTCCAAAGACTCCCCAGCCTCTGAATGAAGAAATCCCAAGTCCAAAATGGCCAATCTTTTATCCTGAGTCTGTGTGTCTCCTGGTTCAAGAAGACCTAGGGGAACATCCTTCCTGCGTACCCCCGTGGAGCCCTGTAAGAATTTTAGTATTCTTCGATCAGGTCACCTTTCATTCTTCTAAACTCCAGAGAATCCCAGCCTGGTCTCCTCAATCTCTTCTCATGAGACAATCCCATCATCCCAGGGATCAGGAACCTCTGCTACACTCCCTCAATGGCCTTCCTTAAATAAGGAGAGCAGAACTGTACTTGATACTCCAGGAGCAGACCCACAGAAGCTTGATGCAAATGCAGCAAGATACTCCCTGCTCCAGTCCCACCACAGTTATGATTGACATACATTGCCCTACCAAATTGGTCGCCACACATTGATGCCCGTTGTTGGTGACTCAGGAAAGAGGTTACCCGTCTAGTTTGGACAGAAGGGATATTGCCTTTGGATATTGCCAATGACTACAGAGTTGGGAATTAGGAATGGGCCACTCAGGCCTTCTAGCCCACGTCGCCACAACATGGCAGACAATGTCATTTCAGGGACATAAATTCCTGCCTGGCTCTTCCCAACCTCCTCGCGTTTAAGAGGTGCTCTCCAATGGCTTTCGATGTTGAAGTTCTCTCTCTGCGCCCACTCGCCATTCTCCCTCCATGGTCCATCATCCACCATCTTGATCCACCCATTCCATGGGCCTGGTGCCAGGGCACACACACAAGGGGGCGTGATCACAGGAGGACACACCCTCATGCAGGCGTGATCACAGGAAGACACACCCCCATGCGGGCGTGATCACAGGAAGACACACGCCCATATGGGCGTGATCACAGGAAGACACACCCACAAGTGGGCATGACCACAGGAGGACACACCCTCGTGTGGGCGTGATCACAGGAGGACACCCACAATTGGGCGGGGTCACAGATGGTACACCCTCAGGTGGGCGGGGCGAGGAAAACGCCAACGTGTGGGTGGGACCGCGGGATGACACGTCCTTAAATGGGCGGGGCTGCAACATGTCACGCCCACACACACACACACACACACACACACACACACACACACACACGTGTGGGCGGGGCGGTGAAGGTCACGCCCATGAGTGGGCGTGGCCGAGGCGGCGGGAGCATAAGTGGGCGGTGTTTTAACGTGAATCCGCCACGGGTGGGCGTGACGGAGTGGAGACACGCCCACGAGTGGGCGAGGCTGTGGTGACGCGAGGCGTGGGACATGCCCATAGGTTTTATCGCGCGCCCACAAAACGGCGGTGAATGGAATGGGCGAGGCTTTGGGAAGGTGCCACCCGGTGGGCGTGTCTGAAATGTGAACACGCCCACCAGGCGGATTCACCCTCGGGCAGCATCGTGAAATGACGTAGGCTTCGCGTGGCGTTGACGGCGAGGACCTCGCGAGATCCTTCCCCCCACTTATTTAAGGAGGAGCGCGCAGGCGCGGCGGCTCCAGTGGTGGCGGTTGGCGGCGGCGGGCGGGTTTGTCAGAGAGGGGGCAGGACCGGCTTTCGCCATGTTCAGCTGGATGGGGAAGGACGCGCGGCGCAAGAAGGAGCCCGAGCTCTTCCAGACGGTAAGCGAGGGCCTCAAGCGGCTGTACTCACAGAAGCTGCTGCCGCTGGAGGAGAGCTACCGGTTCCATGACTTCCACTCGCCCGCCCTGGAGGAGGCCGACTTCGACAACAAGCCCATGGTGCTGCTGGTCGGCCAGTACTCGACCGGCAAGACCACCTTCATCCGGCACCTGATCGAGCAGGACTTCCCTGGCATGAGGATCGGGCCCGAGCCCACCACCGACTCCTTCATCGCCGTCATGCACGGTGAGCAGGACGGGGTGGTGCCCGGTAACGCGCTGGTCGTCGACCCCAAGAAGCCCTTTAGGAA